TATGAACTAAATTATAATACTCTGTCGACTATATATTTTATATACACGGTGTGATGGTAATTAATTGCTACGATTGATTATTTGAACACGTTTTGATAATATTAATAAAAAGATATTTCAAAAGAAAGTTCATTGATACTAAATTTTCTTTTCTCGTGGAACGAAAGATTGTTTTTCTTTCTATATGTTTAAATAATCTTCTGTATGTTTATATAATCTTCATTTTATTTAAGAATATGAAAAGGAAGATATGAATAATATATCGTGATTTTAATTTCTTTTTATAGAGAAAAAATTACGTTCAAAAGCATCTTTTTCCAATTATACATTTCCTCAAATTAGACAAGTTTGTTATTTTTCTAGAAAAGTGATTGCAAACTAATTTCGCAATATTATCTAAGGAAAAAAGAATACTCTTCTAAAAAGAAAATTATTTAAAAAATTTGATTTCATTTTTGTTAAACTATTTAATAACTCTCTTACTAGAAATTTCTTACTAAAATTCTTTAATTTCCAAATTTATCTAATTTATAATTCATGCAATGACGAACCGTAACTAAGACCAATAAATTTTCATTTGAAAAAAATTTTCTTCTTAAATTATCAAAATCGAATTGAAATATATATATATATATATATATATAGTGAAGTTATCGCAGAACTGTTCATAATGTTAAAAAATTCAGTGCTTGTACTTGATAATGGTAAATTATTAACGTAGTCTAAATTAGTATTTTTAGTATTTCTAGGATACTACATTAGTTTTTTTACTCGAAAACGGTCTATGCCTTTCTTGCATCCAAGAGTACAATTGTTTCAACAACTTTAGGAAATTCCCTTGGTAACTGTCTTATTATTTTACATTTGATGAAAGCAGAGTATCTGTATCTTTGAATTAGAATGATTCCACATTTCTATAAACTATGAATTCCGTTATATTCAGAAGTTAGATTTTTCATTTCGTATTGTGAAAATGTAGAATTCTAAATACAAGTTTCCTGAAATTCTTTGGATCATCGGAGATCCATGAAAGATAAACTAATTAACGCAGAATAAACTTAATCTAAAGAACGAAACATGAACCTACGTTACAGGAAAAAAAGATATCGTCCTTCATAAGTTTCTATCCATTATGTAACTTTTAAAGATATATAAAGAAACCGTATAACCAATTTATTCAACAGTATTAGCAGAGCATTAGCATGCTCGTAGTTCGATTTGTCAGCAAATAATTGATGAAATTCCACAAAAATTTCTTACAAAACATCGAACATCAAATATTTTCATCAAAAAAATGTATGTAATTAATTGAGTAACATTGACTTTTTAACTTCATTTTTGTAAGGCATGGTGGTGGCTGGTCTTGCCAGAAGGGTAGAAAAGATAAAGGAACTAAAGCAAGGGTTGGAGGACTATTCAGGAAAACTACACGCCGTTGAGTGCGATGTGTCGAAAGAGGAAAGCGTAATCGCTGCTTTCGCATGGGTGCAAGAAAATCTTGGACCCGCGAGCGTGTTGGTGAACAACGCTGGAATAACCAAAGAATCTTCTCTTATAGGTAATCTCATAAATTTGAACCATACGTCAGAAATTTCTCATTGAAATAATTTCTTCAAAAGTTTTCGTTGTACTCAATTCTCTTGAAAATTATTGAAAAAATATTGAAAAATGTTATATTGAAAAATGTTATATTGAAAAATACGATATTTCATCTAATATTCTCACTCTGGTATTTGCAATTAATTTAATTAATCTAACATTTATAAGTATAATAGTATGGTGGAAGAAACACCGATGTTTCAAAAGTAATGATATAAGATCGGTTGCTTGTTATTCGAAAATAGTTAGTTCGAAATTAATTAGGGAATTAATATTTTTCTGTCAAATCTACAGATGGCAATCTAGAAGATTGGCGTGCAGTATTCGACGTGAACGTTCTCGGATTGTGTCTCTGCACTAAAGAAGCAATTCGCACAATGCGAGAAGCAGGCGGAGAAGGTGTTATTATCAACGTGAATAGCCTGGCGGGTGAAAGAGTGCCTTTTATACCTGGTTTCTCTGTTTATCCAGCTTCGAAGAGAGCCGTTACTGCTCTGGCACAGACTCTGCGACACGAGCTCACAGGAACCCAAATTAGGGTCACGGTACAACTATCTAGTTTTTCCGTCTCTATGTAAAAACAGCAAAATCGAAAAATATCGTACGAAGAAAAATTATAATGGGTTTGCATGCAAGGAGAATTAAAAAAAAAAAAAGGGAATTTCAGGACTTAAAGAATTAGCTCAGGACTAGTCCAATTATTATTTTTACGCACAATAAAATGGAAAGAATATCAAAATGTAAAATTTCATATTGATAATAAATGTTGAAACGAAATATAAAAGAAAAGAATTGTAAATGCTTGCACGAGAATTTAAGTAAAGCTTCGATTTCTTTTTTTATTTAAAATTCTAGGGAATTAGCCCAGGACTAGTGGCCACAGAGTTAATGGTATCATATAGCACGTATTCCGAGGAAGCACTAGCGTCATTCCCTACTCTAGACCCAGAAGATGTTGCAACAGCTGCAATATACATTTTATCGTGCGCTCCACATGTTGTCGTGAGTATAATTATTTTAAGAAACATTAAGTATACAAAATTAAATGCTTGACGATAAATTGTCGATAACTTTACTTTCTTCCCTTTTTTTCTATATATAAAATTTTGCAAAGCGTAACAAATATTATCGTTGGAAAGAGCGAATCTCTCAAAGATAAGAGAATATTTTTCTCAATAAGAGACTCTGTTTTTTTCAAGAAAATCGATTTCAAAAACAAATCAAGTACATATGTATATACATTTAATTTTTGAGTAATAATTTTTAATAGTTTCTACTATTAAAACTCTTCTATTATCAACTCTTCATAAAATCTATTTTATGAGTGTAATGTCAAATAGATTAATGTCAAATAGATCGTTACTTGAAATCGATTAAACAGCTTGTCTTCTGCATTTTTTTTTAAATTTATTACAATACAAATTTAGAATTAATATCGTTCACAAATTGTATTTCCAGATTCAAGATATTGTTCTGCGACCTTTAGGTGAATCTTGGTAACCAGCACGCGATAAAAAATGATTCAAGATTAGCTATACTATCGAAAGAATTATTCAGAATTATTTAGTCGATACATTGATTATTGCACAAACAATTGTTAGAAGAATAGCAACATTTGGAAACGACAGAGTTTACATACTATCGAGTTGATTAGCATTTATCTAGTTGGCTGCTTTAGTTTAATGATTTTGATGTTAATGATTTAAACTCAGATTCTGCTTAACGAATTCGAATATTTTAATATTTCAACGTCACCACGTAGATATAAAAATTAATTGAGTGCCTTTCTAGATAATTTTCCTATTTATTTATTGGTTTTGTTTCGAAATCATTCCGTATTGTGAAACAAGTTCTTCTTGTATTTTGAGGGAAATACAATCTTTACTTGATAATTTTTCAAGTTCTTTGAATTTTCAATTTTTCAAATTCTTATATCGAGATGTTTTCGGTTAGATAAGAAGAATTTTAATAAAAGATCAAAAATATATTGTCCCATGTAATGATCTATGTGTTTTATAAATGTGACGATTTTTACTTTAAAATTCGTTTCAATTTTAAAGTAAAGGTACCAAATTAATTTATATTATACATCTAAATATATTATCATATACTTTAGAAAATTCTTTTCTCAACTTAATTAATCAACTTAATCACGAAGTTCACAGAGATGCGTATATATTAGTATTTTAGAAACATTTCTTCTTTCTTCTACTTTCTCCAGTTCTCTTTTCTCATTTATATGTTTCGAAAATGAAAACAACTGAAATTATGACATTCTGACATAACCCCGTTTATCACGTATTCTGTTGAAATATCTGCAAATTGCAAACTACGTTCCCCGAGAATGGAAATATTTGAGCTTGGCGAAAAGAAGAAAGCCTTCGCGCCACCGCAAGAACGTTATAAAAATCCCCTTAAAGAAGCCATCAAAGTGAATCATCAATTTAGACAACAAAATTTTTCCATACACGTGTATATTTTTAAATTATCACTTGGGGACAAAGTAGACTGCCGATCTTTATATGTGCAATTTTCATAGTTTTATAAATTAAAAAAAATTTTTTAACTAAATAATTTATTTCAAATACTCTATTTTCCATATTTTATATATTTTTCATCTTATATATTCTCTAAGTTTTTTTCATTCTTAAATTTCCTATAAATGCATAAAAATCGGCAGTCTATCATATTTTCCTTTATCTACCTTATTTTTAATCATCAATTGAAAAAACAAGTCCCTAGAAATTTTTCGTGACGAGAAAATTTAGAAAAATTTGATAGAATAAAACGTGTATTAAAAGTTTACAAAAATGTATAATGAAAATAGTTACGAGAATTATGGAGTTATTACAAACCGGTGAAGAAGAGACAGGAAATGCAAGAAGCGAAACGTTTGTTTAGAGAAGCGAGTAACCTTCTGAAGGAAGAGGAACAATTGAAGAAAGCTTGTCGTTTAGTTAACAAAGGATTATTTTACAATCCGAGCTTTCATGCACTTTATGCTTTGAAAGGAGACATTCAATTACTTCAAGGTTTGAAATTACGATATAACAAATATAAATCTAAGTTTCTTCTCGAAACTGAATTTTTATATTATATACTATATATACGTATATTAAATAATCTCGTTTGTTGTTGACAAATAAATTAATAAATATTAGCCGTTAGATTCTGTTATTCCACGAAAGTTGTCCATTAGTTTGTATTTAGGACATTTAAGATTTGAAAGAATAAAAGCTTGAATTATCTACGCTAAATTTTTCCTTTTTATTTTTCTCTTAAAAGAAATTACTGTCCAATATTTCATTAAGTCAAAACCCCTTACTTTAGAAAATTATTTTATCAAGGAAAAAGTCTTTCTATAAAAAAAAACTCCTAGAAATTATAGAAATTTATTAAATTTGAGGAAACTGGAGGAAAGCTATCATAAGCTACGAGAATGCAAAGTTGATGGCTAGATTCGACCATAGAGTGTCAAAACAAGAGATAAAAAATATATACAATAAACAACTGATGGAAGCCTACATGAAAAGGGGAGATTGGAATAGCAAAAACAATTTGTTAATTGAAGCTCTAGCTGATTATGAACAAATTTTCCTCTATAAATTGTCTGGAATCGATATGACGGAAGTACAAGTACACAATCGTAATTCTTATTGATATTATTAGACTGCGGATTTTTTTCACTTTTATATTTTTGAAAATATCATTTGAAAAAGAAAGTACAATTTGAATTATACTTGAAAATATTATTTTAAAGAAATAATATAATTTAAAAAATAGTATTCTCAAAAATACAAATATTATGTTTTGAGTATTTCATATATCTTTTCATATTATCTATATTTTCATATTCTGTGTGTTTCTATTTTGTTTCAAAATTTTCTATTGTATAAAAATCCACGGTCTAAGTATTAATTTCACTATTTTTGATATTAGGATTACGTACATTGATAGGATAAATTGTTAGATATTATTCGTAAGTTGAACAAATACAACATGTTTCAAATATATTGGAACAAATTTATGAAAAGTCCCGATCCCCTGAGGATCTCTGATTTATTGGCCATACACGCAGAATATAAAATTAATCTACGAGAAATGGGAATTGCTAGGCACATGCTTCTGAAAGCTCTGAATCTTAACGAGGATCATAAGAAGGCTAAGGAATTGTTACAAGTTCGTATTTTTTTAAATATTAAGTTAAATTAATTATGAATCTTGTTGTAGAATCAATGTTGTAGATGTAAGTCAATCAATTTCGAGATAAAAGTAATGGAATGTATTTAATATGAAAACAATATACAAACGAATATTACAACTAATTACAGTTACTAAAATGAACAATTATTGTTCAATAGCTACAATTAATTTATTTTTCAAATTACACAGTATACCAAGCTAAAGAACAAATGTATATTTATACCCACAATTCAAACGTCGTGGATTATTCCGTTTTTCTTTCCTTTCTTCCACTTTTTTTCAAATTGTTTATATTAAATCTTTTTAAACTTGTATCACATTAATAGATAACTACATCCAATCCAATAGATATAATTCAAATTCCATATCATTAAACTCATTGTAACATTGCCATTGTTACAATTAGGAAAATATTATTCCTTCGATAATGTTAAATTCATTAACATTTAGTTCATCACTACATTTACCACGTCTCAACCTATACAAGGAGCTTTCTATCGACGAATATGTTGGAACGTCAGTGATAAACTCGTATCCTCTGTTCACCGGTTGTCCTACTTCTTTGTATATTTGAGCAATCAGTAGCATTTCCTCTTTTGCCCTCTTCCTCGCTATATGTGCTTCTTCGCATGTGATAGGCTTACAGGTGTGCTCTATGAATTTCAAAATTTCTCCATTTTTGGCGGCCATTTCACCTTTACATTTGAACGTCTTTTCGTTCAAACAGAGCCACGTTATTAGTTCCCCGTTAACTTGTAACAATTGATAGCACAAATGGTTTACCTTTCAATGTTTCCACTATTTCCATTTCTTTCCTCTCTCTCTCTCTCTCTCTCTCTCTCTCTGTGTGTGTTCTTTGTTTCTTTGTCTTGCGAAAAAATTCTTTTACAATCTCTACTAAAACAAAAGTTTCTCTTAGAAAGAAGAAATTTCCTTCTGATTCTTTTCTTTTTCTTATTTCTTTTTTTAAGTATTTTTAATTGATCCGAGAAACAAGGTTGATTTCGTTAGGTAGAGTTCGCGTCCAATCGCATCTTTCCCAGTTCCGCGGAAAAATAACTAGCACGAACGAAGACCGCAAATCGCGCTAATTCTTCTGCAACTGCAGCCGCATGACCGCAGCCTGTACAGGCTATAACCCCGGTGAAAATGTTTCCAATAATTTACACCGAGTGGTTCATTCAGTAGAATATAGAACTGTGTGCATGAAGCTTGAATAAATTGTAATACATTTGTAGTACAATAATGTAACGTGTATAATAATATAATGTAATAATATTATTCTCTTTTTTTAATCGTGCAAATCTTTACTGTGTCGTAGATTTTTCTGTATTATTTGTTGTTGTCAGGCAATATAATAAATTTCTTCATTGACTGTTGAATGCATTAATCAATGCATCTCTCCATCCTTCAGAAAAGAATAGAATCACTTTTCTGTTTAATTAATCATTCATCCAGATCCTGAAAAGAAATTTAAACATCGTTCTAAATGATAAAAATTATAAATATAAATAATAAAAATTATAAAATTATGAAAACTTATAAAAAAAAAACCATTCCATTACTTTCCTTACTTTCTCTTTCTTGTAAATTTTATAAACTGGTTTATATCAGTTTCGCGTATTTATGTATATCACATACACAGATTGTATTTAGCACTGGTCACACATTAGCGACACATAGTATTATATGGTGCATGCACAATTGTTACGACAAAGCTTTGATTATAGTCGAAAAAGCACTAGATTGTAATCCGTATAATCCCGGATTCAATTTATTAAAAACGATAGTGCTACGGCTATCTGGCCGCTTCGAAGAAGCAAATTCTTGGTTAAAAAGCCTTAGCGATAATTTCTACAAATTAATGGAACCGACGAAAGATAAGGAAAAATCGATAATGGGAAACATTTCTATCAACGAAGCGAGGAACCACCTGATCAAACAATGGTATTTAATACGGTAAATACTTCAACATATAATAATATACATATAATAGTACAATATAATAGTACACATATAATAATAACAATATAGAATTTTCAAAAAATGAAAAATTTCTTTCTTTGCAATTTTCGCCAAAATGAGACAAAATCGCTGAAAAACTTTTTCCTAGTTTTCAACAGTTCCCTGCGTGTTTCCGAAATTTTGACATTTAAACTTGAAACACTCTGTATATAAACATTAAAAATCTATCCATATCATTGACTAAAGGAATAAAAAGATAGTAAGATCATAAATTTAAGACGTTAAGTGAATGTATCAATTAATACACTTTGATTGATCACAATTAGATAGGTAAAATTTGAGACACCCTATATATCAGTATTAACACTTTACCGACAGGTAGCGATTGATAAGTAACCGATTACTAGGCTACTGGTCGGTAAAGTGTTAAAATGGATCTATATCATTGAAGGAAAGAGTAAAAAGATAGTAAACTCATAAATTTAAGGCATTAAGTGAATGTATCAATTAATCCACTTTGATTGATCACAATTAGATAGGTAAAATTTGAGACACCCTATCAGTATTAACATTTTACCGACAGGTAACGATTGATAGGTAACTGATTAATAGGCCATCGGTCGGTAAAGTGTTAAAATGAATCTATATCATTAATGGAAAGAATAAAAAGATAATAAGCTCATAAATTTAAGGCATTAAGTGAATGCATCGGTTAATCCACTTTGATTGGTCAAATTTTATCGACCTAATTGTGATCATTGACGATTACAATTATCATAATTAATTGATACATTGATCACAATTAGATCGATAATTAGATCATTTAGTTAGGCTCAGAATTAAATATTTAAATATCTGCCGCAGTAATTTACCAAGGAATATGTATCTTAATTAGTATTTACCAAGTATATATATATATATATATATATAATTTATTAAGTAATAGTAATGTATTAAATAATAATAATAAATATTTATTATTTTTATTTTATATTATATTTAATATTATAATTTATTATTAATAATAAATTTTATTAAATAATAATAATAAATATTTCAAGCAATAGTAATTTACTAATAATAAGTAATATATTTCAAACCTGAAAAATTTTATGATCTCACTTGTATCTCTTTCGTCAGAAGTAAATTAATTGTATTGCTCTTTTAATTTACCTTCAAAATCCATTTGGACAGCCTGCTACCAAGAATTATCACAAATATCTCGCGTCAAATTCACTTTTTACACATTCAAAGATTAAAATGAAACGGACTGATGCTCGGGGGTGTGAATTGGCTATACTATCGAGCATCTATCGATACGATATCAATGTAACAGATTTACGCGCCAAAAACTTTCTAACGCTATAGATACGATATGGCGATGCAATGCATGCTGGAGGACAAACTCGACGCAGCTGTACGAATTGTCCACAAAAGCAACTTGGTCAAACACTACACGGAACCGTATATATTATTAGGTGATTATTTTCTTAAGAACAAAAACACCGATAGGGCATTGAAATCGTATCTAAAATGCCGGAAAAAGATGCGCGAGCTGCAACAACCAATTTCTCGGAAAACAATCGATCTAACAGAACGAATAATCAATATCCTGAATAATGAGGCAGAAATAGCGATGAACAAGGGACGTACGAAAAATGCCGTGGATATAGCTACACAAGCACTTTGTATACTCGACGAAGACAAAATACCGTTACAGGAATTACGTTTGCAGCGTGGCCGTGCCCTTTTACACAAGGCTCATGGCTTATTTCAAATTGAAAATAAACAGAAAATACAAAGAAAGAAACAAAGCTGTGAAACGGCAGCCGACGGTTTGCGATTCGTTCGCGAACTAAACGAGGATTTGTATCAAACCTTGTATCGCGATAGAAATATCGAAGGAATTATCGATCGATTTGCACCGACTCGAGAATTACCGCGATCTTTGAAAATACTTATGCAATTTTCTTAAGGAGTATTGTTTTCTTAAGAAATGTGTTTCGAAAAATTTTAAAGAAAGATAAATTTAGAATATATTTCAGTAATATATTACGTCAAAAGTAATAAATTACACTTACTTCACGAAATCGTAACGATATTGAAAATATAAATCTGATGCAATATTTTTAAAATGTTACTCTCGAGGAAGATACCTGTATTATCTCTTTTTATCGGTGTCATTGCTTATTGGTAGCAAACATATTGTAACAAACAGATTCATATGGTTATATCTTTTTTTGTATATCATTGAATTTATATCTGCGTGTTTTCAATAAAAAAAGATTACATAAAATTGTGTATGTCTATAATAATTTCTATTTTATTATCCGTTTATAATTTTTTTCTTACTATGCTAAATAAATCATTAAAAAATCGTTCCTATTTTTATTTCTAATATCCTACAACTTTTGATAAAACCCAATTCATAAAACTAATTATTATGGTTTTAACGAATTAATTTAGTAAAATCACTGTAATTGTTAAAATTCATATTTGTAATCTTAACGTTATTGAAAAAGAAAAAAAATAAATCATTAATTATTACGCAAAATTTCTTTCTCAAAGGAAGCACCTCATACCAAAATACATTCTATCTGCCTTATCATTATGAGAATATCAACATCTTGCATGATTTATTGCAAATAATGCAATATCAATGTGGATGTCAATATAAGAACAACTTACACAGTAACCATAGTCGAAACATCTTTGTCTGTCTGAAGATTAGCACGACCTTTAGTAATCTTAGGCCACAATTTGACTCCAATATAAAAGAAGACGCCGGTGCTTCGAAATTCAGACAAATTTTGTAACTTTAGTTCGACGGTTCTCTCTCGTTTGATCACACAAATCAAATATCCTAAAATGGAACAACGTTGGACTGACAAAATTGCGTTGATTACTGGAGCTAACACTGGTATTGGCAAGTACCTGGTAGAATCTCTGGTTAATAATGGAATGAAAGTTGTTGGTATTGCTCCACAAGTTGATAAAATGAAGGTATGTGAAAATTCTTGTAAATATATTCTTCTTTGAATAACAAATAGCAAATAATGCATAGCTTTATAATAAATGTAATTTTTTTACTACGACAAAGAGTCATCAACTGTTTCAATAAATATTTCATCTACTTACTTTTAATAAACCGAAAACAATTTCACTCTTCATTTTATTTTGAAGTTTTACCTTTTTCTATGAGTAGTTAGTCTCTATATCTTCACTGAATAGTGTTATTTAATTATACATACAGATTGTAAAATATTTCACTTAGATAAAAGCAGTTTCTTTTTTAAATTTTATCAATTCTACTTCTTTCGAACAGACACTTGCTGAAGAATTGAAGTCAAAGTCTGGAAAACTATTTCCTCTTCAGTGTGATCTTTCCAATCAAAATGACGTTATGCGTGTCTTAGAATGGGTTGAAAAAAATCTAGGAACCATGGATATTCTCATCAATAATGCCGCTAGTAATATAGATATTTCACTGTTATCTGGTGAATTAGAAGATTGGAAGAAGATGTTTGACATGAATTTCCTTGGATTGTCTTACATGACCAAAGAAGCCTTGAAGTTAATGAAAAAGAAAGGTGAGTCTTTTTAAAATATACAGGATCCAAGACCCTGTTGTCAATCCAAAATTAAAATTCTTCATATTTTCTTCTCATCTCTTTTCCAGGAACTGATAATGGTATCATTGCAAACATCAATGATGCTTCTTGGCTAAAAGCGCCAATTAATTCTGATCGTCCAATATCCCCAGCTTATGTAGCCAGCAAATTTGCTTTAAATTTCTTAATGGAAAGCCTTAGATCTGAATTAGCACAACTTGAATCTAACATCAAAGTTATGGTAAGTGATTAATGCTTATTCTTACCTTCAATACAACAAATCCTAATAATTGTTTTTGAAACATCAAAACTGTTTTTCAAAATCAATTTTTGAATGATTAATATGATATAATTTTTCATTATAGTCAATTAATCTTGGTTTGGTGGAGACTGAGATGACTGCACAATGGTTGAAGGAAAACCCTCGCTTGGCTTTGAAACCCAAAGATGTATCTGATTGTATTCTTTTCGCATTGCAATCTCCTGATTCCGTCCTGATCAAAGAAATGGTTATCTCACCAGTGCGTGAAACGATGTAAAAAATAAAATATCCAATATTTATCTAATTGTTTGACATAAATGTTAATGATTGACATTTGTAAATATACTAAATAAAAATTTTTGCATATGCATATATATATATATATATTTACCAATCAATTATTTAAAAAAATTAATATTGCTTTAAGTAAGATATTTCAAAGGGTATTACAAAGAATTCTGAATAAAGAAGGAAAATATTTTATTCATTAATCATATGACAAAGTATGTATAATAAGAAAGAAAATAGGATTATTACACTTATGAGATAATAAAATTTAATTTCTCTATAAATTGATATAGGTCTATAACAAATATTAATTGCAATAATCATAATTAAATACAATTGATCTTATGAAACGATCACTTCACTAACCAGTAGTCTAACCAAGCAATAGAAATTTATTCTCCTCTTGGATCATCTGAATAAAACTGGCAAAAGATTAATAACATTCTTTTTTTTTTATGTTACTCACCTAAAGTTCTTTGTTATCTCATAGCCTTTGAGAAATACATATTTCTTCACATTTCATAAGTTAAATATCAATGAATCGATTTAAATTGACACAACAAATATTTGAATAAAATATCGGTTTTCTAACATAAAAGAGCTATATAATACTAATATTTTTATATTTCATTTGAATACTAGAAGAAAATAATTCGCGAAAAAAGATCAATCCATACTCACATATACTTCCCTCTTGCTTTCTTGAATAAATACATGAAAAAAAAGTGTAGAATCGATCGATATTAGTTATACAATAATTATAAATATATTAACTTTTTTAACAATAAACATTAGTTGAGGAAAGGAATTCAGGATATATCCAATAATAAAACAATCAAACTCTTTTTATTCCTGTTTTTTGAGATAGATATCGACGATCAGGAATTCTATAAAATTCCTCTTATTGTCGTGAAGTAACAAAAAAAAACGAAGTTTCTAATTAAACAGGATGACTGGATAACTATTGAGGAAAGGTTAATACTACTATGAGGAAACGGATATTCACTCTTGTGAATAATTCTGTAAGAGAAAACTTCTATATTCAGGATTGAAAAATATCTATGTCTATATACGAATGTAGGTGTGTAGCTGAACATAAAGATAGTGATGAATTATTAATATAAACACACTGAAACAGATGAGATATTATATCTGTTACGTTTCAAGTTAGTCTTTAGCAAAAAAAGTGGATCTTTCTAATAATTCTTTTTTTTTTCTGTTTGAATTTTTGGTATCGTTTAGAAGAATTGCATGCAGAAAAAAATGTGTGTATATGTCGAAGGGACGTCAGAGATATTAAACTTGAACAAATACCTTACAGCGAGTGTGTGCGAATCGCATCCGTTTTTGATCATCCGTGTGTTATCCGAAAAATGAGATATCCGACTATTTTTATTTACTTTTTATAGATCTTAAATTCCTGTATTGATCCCGACAAGTGCAAGTCCAAATCCCGTATTCGACCTAGGCGAATCCATGAAACCTATTTGAAGCATAAACAAGCGCAGCCACACGTTTTGCTTTCTTTTTTCTATATAATTGATCGACATCTCGATAATCCACATCCATCCAAACGGTATGAACACGGCGTACACATTCTGTCTGGTCAAAAGATCCAAGTGATTTGTTTATTTACAGAATCCAAGTGGAATATTTCCAGCCAATTTATCCGTTTATCCATCATGAACACTAATTTTATATCCTGTCAGCATCCTAATCCAACAGACCGTATCTCTGCCGAATCCTGTCTTTCTGTTTTATCTTTTTTTTTTTTTTTTTTTTTTTTTCATCCCGGGAGATCCTCTACAACTAGGGAGAGCCAGGTTCTTGTGTTACAAGATGAAGTATTCGTTTCCAAACCAAATGTTAATATCCTCTTGCACCGCGCATCAAAGTCCCGAAGAACGAAGTGAAGTTCTTACTATACATATGTAGTAGCACACGTATAAAAATTGTACATATACACGGTGTCACGATTGATCAAAATAAAAAAAGATTGAAATGACCGAGAGGAAGAGCAATCAGACGATTTTCGGTCACGAGGTAGAAGGCAAACCCGTGAAAACACTATTTTTTTTTTTTTTTTTTTTTGCAACGCGAATTTTCTCTTGGAGGACCACTTGTTCGTTCTCCACGATCCTGAGGAACGCTAATCACGGAGTTAAGTAGTTCAATATTGTACATCACCTATGCTAATGCTTGTATTACACAAGTCGAACAAAAAAACGAGGAAGATTTCTCAAGCGAGCCGATTTACTTGCGTTGAACCAGTCACCAGTCTTATATGTATATTCTTTCCATGTGAGTACTCGCGAATTGTCGATCACTGAACGCCGATGGATGAGACGTATGATATAGTCGTTTCTGTTTGACGATGAGAATCAAAATTATCATATCGACAATGATAAGAATAATTCTCAATTTGCGAACATCTGACATACGAAGCTATAAGCGAGTACTTTCATATAAAATAAAATTTTTGCAATGTTGACATTCCATTACTTTGTTTGCTTTTTTTTTTGTTTTTAAATCGTACAGAACGTAAGAGAAAAATCGCGAAAGTCACTTTCTCTCTCTTTCTCGCTTTATTTAGGTTAAAATCGCGTGATTGTAATAAAACCGAAACACTGAAACGATTAAAAAATCTGTATACAACCACGTTATATGTCGAAGATGTTCATTTTACGTTTTTCAATTACGATATTTTTTTATCGTTTAGTTCGTCAACGCAAACACTGCTATATCACGATTAAATAATTTTTTTTTACGTTTGTTTAACGATTCGAAAGAGAAAAATATGGACAATCATTTTAAATCCTTGTAATGGATTTGCCAACGTTTTCTGATGAAAATCCAGCTAATTGAGAATCCTTGAATGAAACGGATTGTGTCTTTCATCCAATTCCTTTCCTGAATTCCTGATCCTGAATTTCCTCTTGAAAGCATCCTTAATGCCTCATTATTTTTGCATTCTCTTAATCCATTTTATAATATATGCTCCATACATAAATCCATCCAAAACGCATTCCATCTCATCCCACCGTCAAGCGAATGTGTATTATATCCATCCAAGAAGTAAGATCGTGTCGATTTCAGTTTTTCATTCATTGTGTTACAATCCAATCCAATATACAAAAGAAGAAAAAATACATTAGTCCCTTATACAGTATGCATTAATGTTATATATAAAATTTATCACTGCAAATGTAATCCCTGTGACTTATATAGTATTTGAATATTGTATTATATAAATTGAGCAAATACTATACAAAACAAATTTATATCTAAAATAACATAAGCAGGAAACAGAAATCACAGGATCAATTTGCAATAATAATGTTCTCAAGAATACACGAAATCATTGTTTTCCTTCAACATCTTTAATTTATAACTGAGAATCTATAGTTTAGGCATGTATTGCAAAATTTTAAAAATTCGTTTGTATAATTTTTAAAAGGAAAACGAGAAATGTGTAACAAACAAATTTATAAATAATTCATTTCATCATATATAAACACATTTCTCAAGATATGTCGTGTATGAAATTAAATTTAATTCAGTATTTCACAAACATCCAAATAATTGTACCAAACATATTGTTACATTCTTAATAATAATTTCAATATGAATTAATTGTTTTCTTTTTCACTTTAAAGTGATACACAATACACAGTTCTTTTTATCAAATCAAGAAAATGGCCCAATAATCGTCGTTAAAGAACATTCAAATACATAAGACATTTTAAGTTAATTATTATACCGAATGAACAATGTCAATGCATAATAAATGATAGCTTTCTTCAAAGAAAATTGGTCATATTAATTGGTAATATTAATATGTATTAGTAAAAGTAGATCTTTTACCTATATTTATCAAATATTATGTCCTATATGCATGTACTATCCATTGATGAATACCACTGTACAATTACATTGTCTACGTATTAAATGTTTTGTATTGTCATCATTAGATACCAAAATAAATATACTTAAATTTATATAATAACTTAAACGACGATGAGCCGTGTAAACAACTTTGCATATATTTATCTATAATTATTTTTAAGAATTTGTAGTCTAATATATTTCATTAAATTAACTAAAAAAAATCATCAAAATCTACCAAATTTGTCAAAATTTATAGAAATGTCAAATATCAAATGAAATTATGTGCAATGAAAAGAAACAATTTTAAAATTTTTATAACAAATAATTATAGTGAAAAACCTTTTGATTAAATATATATAATACAGCATTCATTGTGTAATATACTGCATTTTATCTTGCACATTATATATGCACATAAAAATATACGTTTCCCTCATCTATTATTTATAACTTTAATGCACAATAATTTTGAGCTGTTAACAAGAAAAATGTTAGCTTCATAAACTTATATGATAAGCATTCAGCATTAGAAGCTTAAAAAAATTTCATGTTATGTACGCTATAAAATGTGCTGTACTCATCACTGCAAATGTGAATAAATCAACATGAAAAAAGAAAAATCATGTTCACATCACAGTATTACAATATAGCTACCAATGATATCGTATAATGCAACGTGAATGATTATATTATGTATTAAATCAGCAAATGAAGATATTCACATTGAATATAGATTATATTGGCAGTTATACAATGAATACTATTCATTAATATGAACATTAATTAAATAAATAAAATAATTAGTTTTTAGACTCTCATTTGCAATACTTCAAAATTATTACATATTTTCAATATAATTGTAGTGTCAAATCAAATTGCAAAATATAAAGGAATGTATTTTTAAACATAAAAGTAATTCAAATAGGTGTATCTTTAACAATAATAATACAGTTAATATGAGCGCAATTTCTCTTTACCAAAAAATTAAGATAAAACTCGATATCAATATTTACTAGTGAACAACTCCTCTTCTGGATTACATAAGTTAAAAATATCTGAATCGATAATATCAAAATCTTTGAAAAAACAATTTTGGTACATGTAAAATGAACCGTGCTCTAATTACATTAGATACAATACAATTATTAAATTCAAGCAACATAGAAATAATTTTATAATTTGTTTAAAATTGGTTTGGATTGGAAGGTGTTTTTAAGTGAAATTCAAATCAGTAATAATGAAACATGGTAAAGCAAATATTGACAAGCCTTTACTTATATTACCATGTAAAACATATACGTACACACTAGTCGTATGAACGAGATCTGGAACGAGATCTTGATCGCGAGTAATTACGTCGCAATGGTGAATAGGTAGGTGAACCACGACGCCGTGGACTATAGCTTCGTGAATGACTCCGACCTCTCTCTCTATCTTCACTGCGTCCCCTATCGCCACTGCTATGATCTTCTTTTACTCGAATATAAGCTACTTCACCCTATAGACAAAAATAAAGTCATATTAAAAATGGAATTTTATATATATATATGTATATATATGTATATATAATTGTATATATATATATATATATATACAATTTATACAAATCTGTTTTATACCTCGTGAGACCTAAATCTTGAATCGTCTAACTTCTTCACAGCATACTTCATGTCTTCATATCGTAAGAATTCCACAACTCCAGTACCATCTTTATAAACATCAGCAAAGCATACATCACCAGCTTCGCGCATATGGTCCTTTAAATCTTGCCAACTACCAGAAGGAGGTAAACCAGTAACAAGAACTCTATATTGAGATCTTCTTGCAGGTGGCCCACGTCCTCTGGAGTTACTCATTTCACCTCTACCACCTCTTCCACTATCTCCTGCCCCACGACCACCACGAAAATTATTACTAGGACCGCCACCCCTAGGGAACTCAACACGTAGTCTATAACCATCATAATCATATCCATCTCTTGCATGAACTGCGTCTTCAGCATCTCTGAAAATGATTAATTATAGTGCCACTTCTTGTGTAATTTTTATGTAACATTAAAATGTCAAAACTAAATCTTACATATGTAACAAATAATACATTACTTAATAAAATTAGTCACTTTAACGTAATTAAATTATAAGCTTGGAATTCCATAGATGTTTCCTTCTTTGTTTAGTGCAAAAGAAATATTATGGAGCAAGAGATAAAAATTATGGAGCAGCTATTATATATTACATTTAAAATATAAAAAATTTTTCATAGAATTATGAATTATAAAATATACCTTGGATCGTCAAATTCGACGAAAGCAAACGGTGGTCCTCTGCGATTTTTTAAATCAACAAAAATAACTTTACCGAACTTGTAAAAAAGGTCTTGAATGTCTTTCGTTCTTATATCAGGGGGCAAATTTCCCACATAAATTCTACATTCATTTCTACCATGAGACATATTCACAGTTTTTATTACAATTTATTGTATACAGGATACAAATAAAAATTACTTTAAAAAAATTTCTAGTCGTCTTTTAAGTCTTACACTCTCTTTATTGATGAAATAAACAAGATGGTGGTACCAGTCGGAGAGAAGTATGAACACGAAACACAGAAAACCAAGAACATTAAGGAAACCTGAACCACAGACGAGATACATGAATAGATTAAGCATCTTACGGGACTTCGTGGCCCGTAACCTGAAATACCGACATAGTAAAAAACGCACTTTACGTTTCCCAACAACGGTAAGTTGGGAAACTACATTAAGTAAAATCACAAGGTGTACATATCACAGAATAGATTGTGACTTCGTCTGTGGTGACATGATAATAGAAAGGGAGTCCTAGACTCCGAAATCGTAGGATAAACAAATTCATTGTATGCAAGGTCTATTCATATACTTCGTCTGTGCCTGAACGAAACTATCGAGCATTTTTATATAGTTAACGATCAATTATATGTCATATTCTGTATAGTATCCGTTATTTTTTCCACTGATCAATTATTCCTTTTTGAAAAATGCTACTCTTTCCTATTATTTCAAATATATAAAATTAATTACAATTAATTAAATTATTTTTTAATAAAATTCGTGAATTTCGCAATGTGTATATGGAAATCGTATTTTATATATATTTTATATATCTCTTTTACTCTCATTTTTTAAATAAACAAACTATATTTTATTTTTTTAGTTCGAAAATTTGTTTATTTTAAATATACAAATAGTTATTACGCTTTTTTTGTATAATAAGTAAAATAGTCGAGATAATTTTATTTTTATAATCAATTAAATAATTAAATAAATGATTTAAATATTTCAGTGTCTTGACTATTTTATTTGAATATCATTTTGTTACCTTATTTCAATTTTTTAAGTTGAAATATTTGAAATGTGAATGAATAAAATCTAAAATCATATAATATATAATGGTAAATAGGTAGTACTCTACATATATTATACCTGTTAAATTTTGTTTATGTTTTCTTCTCTAACCTTCAAAATGTACAAAAACAATTATATATTTGTAAATATTAGAACAATGAAGTAGAATAGCACAGTTTGTATTTTATAATTTTATCTTTCTAATTAATTGATCACAACTGGAATAATGTATGAATAGGCATGCAATTAGACTTGTAAATATAATAATGGCATTTTCATTTCGTATTGGCACCAAATGGTGTCATGATTTTCCAAAATTGGCAAAAGAATCTGGATTTTATTTCAATATGCACAGATCCAGAGTACGTGTAGATTGGAATCGTATAAGTATGTAGTATACTAAATGCATTTGATACCATTATAATTTATAAATAAGATATATTTAATATTTTCTCTTATCCTAGGTAATATAGACATAGATCGAATTATAAGAGAAAGAGATTTCCATTCTATCGATGATAATATAATTAATGTAATAGATTACTGTTTAGAAAGTGAATATGATGTTAAAATCTTGGATCCTAATTTTGTAAAACTCTTTTGTCTTGCACAGTTAGCAGTTGAATATTTATTATATTGTAAACAGTATTTAGATCACAGTGTAATGATACTAAAAGAAGAGCTAAGATCAAAAATTGAAGAAAATGTTAAATTGAAGAAAGAAATAGCTGCTTTAGAAGAAATCATAAAACATATGAAAGAGAAAGCAAAAGAGAGAAGCAGATTAATAGAAACTAAAATTGGAGACACTAATGGTGAAATTTATAAAGTAATAAAATTGTGAATATTGCTTGCTTTTATTATAATTAAATATATTCCTATTACAATAAAAATATTTTTACTTATGCAAAAGTTATATTAATATTTTTGCTTTTCAGTGCCCACATTGCCCAAAATCTTTTATAACTCCCATGTTTGTAAGTGCACACATTATACGTCGTCATGCGTATGCATCAGATTTATACATGCCTGTTTCTCCTGTACATGAACACTATCGCAGTGAAACTGAAAAATTACATAATGAAATAAAAAATTTAAAAGAAAGACTGAATGAAACAGAAAAAATAATTAAAAATGAGTCTGAAAGGTTTCCTGAGAAAAAGTTATTAATTTATGATAAAAGACAAGCTGAAAATGAAAATGAAAATTTTAAATGTAATAATAATAAGTCTAAAGATCATTCAGATTATAAAGGATATCAAGAAGAAATAAAAAATTTAAGGACTATGCTGTTTGATGAAATAAATGTATGTATAAAATAAACAAATTATAAAAACCTCATTATTAATGATTTAAATAATAATAAGTAAATAAATATTTCAACAGAATTTAAGGCAAAAGGAAAAAATCACACATGAACATATATCTGAAACAAATGTCCAAACGTTAATAAATCAGCAGGAAAAAGAATTTCAAAAGCTAAAAAATCAATTGCTTGACAAGGTAAGTTTATTTTTTTTATAATATGAATCTGATTTATTTTTTGAACGTTTTACAGCTTACTCCAGACATAGAAAGCATGCACGCAAAATTACAAGCTCAAGAAAATTATTGGAAATCAAAAATAGAATATTTAGAGAATCAACATCAAAAAGATATTGAGAGGCTTACCACAGAATTAAAATTAACACAAAGTACAGCTGATGATATGAAAGCTAAGTATGAAGCAAAAGTTAATGATTTAGAACGTCAAACCGCAAATCAATCTGATATTTTAATAGAACAAAGCAAACAATTAAATTCTCTATCACAGGAAATAAATGTTTCACAATTAAATGACAAAAATAAAGATTTTGAAAATAACTCATTGAGAAAAAGTAGTCCATCTATAACATTAAATAAACCTAATGAAATTCTAAAAATGCCAAACGAATCTGCTTTAAAACAAAATGGAACAGATAAAAAACCTGAACAAATTGTTATTGAGAATAATATAATAGATACTACAATAACTTCAAGTCTATCAAGTAAAGTGTTTCCATTAACAACAGAAAATGATTGTATAAAAAATATTTCAAGTTCCAGAAACAAGTATACTATTCATGAAAATGAAAGAAATATTAAAAAAAAAGATATAAAAAATACAAATAGTACAATATCTGATCATGTAAAAATTCATATTGAGAAAGATTTAGAATATTACAGTTCAAGTAATGTTTCGGATTCAGAAATGCCTGAGAAAGAAAATAGTTATAAACATTCTAAATACAATCGCTCAACCATAAAAGCTGTCGAATCTGATACAGGTAAACTACAGGATGTTGATAAAAGCATATATAATGAGTTTTTAGATACCAAAATATCAGAACGTTCAGAAACTAATCTATCTTCTGCAACAAATTCAGAATCATTTATTTCTGATTCAAGTACTGAAGAAAGTGTTGCAATCCATAATAATTCCTCATTACATAAATATAAAACACATTTATCTAAAAACATAACAGGACACAATTTATTTTATAAAAGACTGCAAACTAGTTTAATAGAAACTTTTGAACAGAAATTAAAAGATTTAGGGATAGATCCAGAATGGCAAGGAATACCAAAAGCAACATTTAAACAGAAAATGGATATTTTAAAGCATCATCACAAATTAGCTACAAAAGTAAGAAAAATATACATTAAATTTTTTATATAAAAATATTAATATTTTTTTCTAATTTAACACAGAAGTCACCAAAATATCATCAGATAAAATTAAAAATAATTAAGGAAGTTCTTAATAAGATATCTAAGAAGAAAAAAATTACAGAAGACGTAAAACAATTACAAAAATCACCTGTAAATAGACCAATAACTAATGTTAAGTCAATGGTGGTAAAAGAATTTAATGTTTTACAGGATTCTGGTAATTACTTCTAATAACATTTTATATATAGATCTAATTGCTTTAAAAAAAATAATGATAATTATTTCTTTTTAGACTACTATATTTCTACACCACAAGCAATTAAATCAAATAAATTTCATTCTACACCAGAAAATAAAGATTCTGTTAAAAATATAATTGATAATGAATTAATCCCTACAAAAGTTGCAAAACTTACAAATTTTAAAAGTATAGAAAAATTAATACAGTTTTCTCCTAATTCAAAATCTGTGGAAAATGTACAACATACAAATTCTCAGGAGCTTTCAATAAGAAGAGATTCCTTAAACAAAATAAAATCTTTATTTAGTTCTGAAACTGTTAAAATAATACCAAATGACAAAGATGTATCTAGTAATAAATCTATTGGAAACGATAATACAGATCATTCAAATATGCAACGGGATTTACAAAATATTTTTATATCTCCAAAACATAATAAAAGTGTTCTAAAATCTACAACTGGTTCAACAGGTAGCTTGACAAAGAAAAAAGTTATATTTGATTTAACAAATAATGAAGATGAAGTTTCATCTTCTAATGATGATACAGAAAAAGAAGAATTGAATGAGAGTAATTACAAAACTTTGAGGTATATAAATCATCTATGCTTTACATAGAGGATAAATAATGGTAATGTTTCTACAAATAAACTTAATTTTGTATTTATTTAGTATCACTGATGAAAAAGAACATTTGTCTCAACCAGAGGATTATAAAAGTTCAAATAATATTGTATTAAGGACAACACAAAGTGATAAAATTGCAGAATTATCAAAGAAACTTGAAGCACAAGTAAAATCAAATATTACAGAATTTATTTTGCGTTTAATGATGTTAAACTATCAATTTTTTGTTTCAGCTTAATATGGTAAGACAGAAGCCTATAGGATCAATTGAAACAATATTCTCATCAACATACATGCAAAATAGAGAGAATCAAAATAAGAGCAATGAGCAAATAAATGCCACTAGTATAAGTTCTGTTTTAGTAAATCCACTTCAAACATCTATATCAAATACTAAAAGAACGAGTAATTCGTTACCACAACCAGCTCCACGTAATTTTATAGATAAAACATCCGAAATCTTACATGCAGAATCTGTATCAGAAATATCAGATTTAGAGTCTGATATAGATCAAATTTTAAAGTTAGAATAGTTTTAGATTAAACCTTATATATTATTTTTTAACAAAAAAAATTTTAACAAAAAAAACTGAAAAATTCTCTATAAAATATAATTTTAATATAATATATAATTTTGTTTACTAATTGTAATCTAGTCTATTAAACCAAGAGACAATCATCTATATTTTACATATTGTACGAAATTTTTATTTATGAAATGAATAAAAACAAAAACATTCTCAGTATCAATAAATTTTATTGTAACATTATTATACGTGCATATTAAATGTTAATATTTTAATTTATTACTTCTTAATAAATCATTTATTTTAATTTAATATTTTATGTGAAAGTAATTTGTAGGAAAAATGTGTATATGAATACCTCAAACGAGGTATATGAATAGACCTAACATACAATGTATTTTTGTGTCCTACAATTTCGGAATTCAAGGACTCTCTTACTATTTTCGTATCACATTCTGTTGTACTAATTTAGGCAAGTTTTACACAGCAGCACTATTAATGTGAGAATTAAAATTAAAAAATATGGACATTTGTCACTCCTGCTTCGAGAGTTACTTATCGAACGTGGTGGTTCAATGAAGGAATACAATCACGAGGTATATGAATAGACCAAGCATCTTATGGACTTTCGTGGCCCGTGACCTGAAATACTAACATAGTAAAAAATCACTGGTTTTTTAGCGCATTCTAAATTTTTAAACAACGGGGAACGTAAAATACCCTATCAATGTAATATTTTAGACCCATTACAGTATTGTCAAACTTTCAATACCGAAATGTAAAACTCGTCTGTGACTATACCAAGTAAAATGATACAAGCAAAATGTTTAATTGTATCTCCAGATTCCAAAACACGAGATTAGTATCTAAAATTATTCCATTTTTTATTAAGTACTTATGTGTGTGTCAGAAAGAGCCCTATTCGTGTTTTACGAATTTATCGATTGGTTTTTCGTTGGAAATGATAAAATTATTACTTATAACGGGATGTTTTATTTATTTATTATAATATACTAAAGGAAATATATTCAGAATGGATCTGACATTTAATCAAAAAGGAGACATAGAAAAGATTAATCACTTCATCAAATCATATATTTTAAAATATCCATCAAAATCTAAAATCTATGGTTTTCGACAATATTTACAAATGCACTATACGTTATTATAAAAGTTCAGTCTATAATTTTAGAAATCAATGATCTCCCTAATAACTCAACAAAACCTTTAATTACATAAAAATTAAATCGTGATCACCGCCGATTAGCTCATATCATTTGTTACAGAACTCATAATTGTATCGTAGGAATGCAATTAGTAATTGTATCACAAATAACTTTAAAATTTTAATTTACTATATGAAAAAACCATCATAATACCCTAAAACATAGATAGAACTTTTTCTGATACATAGTAGAATGATTTCAGTTAACTATTAGCTTTACATTTTGATATTTAAAATTTGACAATATTGTAATAGATTTCAAAAATCATATTTCTGGCGCGTTCATTACTTGATCAGCTTCAATCGTTTTACTTGTGATTCTCCAATTTAGCATTGTTGAATAAAGTGTGCTGAAAACTATTTTTTACTATGTCCGAATTTCAAAGCATGGGACACGAAATCTCATAAGATACTTGATCTATTTGTACATCTCGATGTATAGAATAGGTAGTATATATTTTATATGCAGATGTATGAACACATATCACGCTTATGGAGTCGTGAGAATTACATTTAGTAATTTATAATTCATATCTTACACTTAAATGAACAAACATTGAGTATATTTCATTTTCTTTTTATCAGTTTCATGAAACAAAGTGTGGTTTCAAAATTATCCCATACATTATTATCGATATGGTATGTTGCGAAACATAATTAAGGTTATGTTTGTAATGTATTATCAAACAATAATTTACAATTATTATACAAAATGGTTACATTTATATTTGTTATTTATTATAAAATAACAATACAAGCTGGGAAAAAACTTAAGTAAACAATTGAAAATTCTTATCAGCTCTTTATGATAAAACAAAATGATGCCAATGTCTAATATATTTTGCACAATATGTGACACAAAGATTGATCCTTCATCCTCTATAAATATATTTTCTACATCTTTCCCTCGTCAAGGGGAATTGTTAGTAAATTTCGTATCACGAGTACTTCGTGTAGCAACTTCTGAATTACAAAATCCTTATATTTGTTTGCAATGTTACAATTTATTTCAAATGTTAGAACAAGCGCAAAAAACTGTTTTGAACATACGTTGTGAGATTTTGAAGATATATCGTGCTACTGAAAGAAGAAAGAATATTAAACAACCAGTAAATAATAGTACAAAATTAAATATAGAGTTAGAAAAGGAAACATTGAACAATAGTGATGGAAATTTTGAAAAAGTATTGAATTTACAAAAGAATACTCAAATAGAAGAAATAGTACAAAAACAATATGTTCAAAACAATATGATAAATCAAAATATAAGTATTTCAAATACAGATTGTGCCATTAACAATAAAATTACTATAAAATCAAAGAAACACTTAAAAAAAGAAATGATTGGCTATAATGAAGCAAATAGCATAAAGTCATTTGACTACAATAATATCTATAATGATATAAAGAAAAATGAAATTTTAAAGGATGATATACTTAATAATTCAGTGACATTAACTAATGACAGCAATGTATGTAATATCAATTCACAAGGTAAAGCAGAATTATTTGAATAGCAAATAAATATAAGATTAGTAACAGAAATATGTAGAAATATTTCTTTATGTTTGTTTACAGAAATTGTGCATACACCAAAAATTCATGTTGGAGAAAAAAACTGTATTTCATTATTAAATTCTGAAATTGAGTCAAAAAACTCTGCAAAAGCAGAATCTGCAGATAATAAATTACAAATAGGAAATATTGATCTTGAATGGAAGAAAATGGATGAAAATATTACAGAAATAAAAGGAAATACTAAGGATATTACAGGTGATATTTTATTCATTATTAATATTTCCTTTTAAGTTATTTGTTCATTATTTATTGATTAAATCTTTATAATATAGCATCAACAGTTGATCAAGTAAATATACCTGTAAAATCAGTAAAAATACCAAAGTCTGATTTAAAATCATTAAAATATTTTTGTCCTACTTGTGATAAGAAATGGAAAACATCTGCTGAATTAAAAACACATATGAAAACTCATTCATCATTAAGGCCATATATGTGTGAAAAATGTGGTCAAGCATATAAACATAAACATGCATTAGAAATACATGTTGGAATGCATAATGGAATAAATCCATTTCAATGTAATTTTTGTAACAAGTGCTTTACACAAAAAGGAGCACTTATGAGGCATTTACCGATGCATACCGGTGAAATGCCTTATCAATGTGAAGTGTGTGGTAAAAGATTTATTCACCATACATCTTATAATATGCACAGATTATCACATAGTGGTAAAAAATCTTATAAGTGTCAAGTAAGTAATAACTACAGCATACAAATAATATACAATAACTAGTGTACAATTAAATTTCTCTATGTTGTAGATGTGTGATTTATCTTTGCTTTCAACATCTCATTTAAAAAGGCATATGAGAGTTCATACTGGTGAAAAGCCATATAGTTGTATAATATGTGGAAAACGTTTTGCAGAACGATATAATTTACTTGCTCATCAAAAAGTTCATGGTTCAATTGAAAATAAAACAAAAAAAGTTCAAGAAATACAATTTCAGTAAGTATATTTAGAAATTTGTAATCTCTATATAATATTTATTTATTTAATAGCTTTGTTTTCAGATGTAATCATTGTAATTTAATGTTTGAAGAGAAAAAAAGCTGGAATGATCATATGAAATATCATTCTAATATGAACAATGAGTCTAACCTTAAACAATGTACAATTCTTCAAGTTGAAGAAGATCATGAACTACCAAAAAAAACAAATTTTGAGGATGGTATATTACAAGAAACCTGGATTCAAATGAATCGCTCTAAATTAGATATTATTGATAATCAAACAAGATTTGTACTTTTACAAAGTCCTTTATCTCAAATTGATGAAAATTTTGCTGTTACTTTTAATGATCAAAAAGTATCCTTGGAAAGTACAAATTATAATACAAATTTGCATGTAATCATAGAACCAGATATACCACTTTTAAGCAATAATCTTCCTTCAATTGATAAAATGCATATGTGACTGAGCATTAAATTTCCAAAAAAATAATAATAGTTACTATTAGTATGTATTTTAAAAAATATTTTAAACAAGTTCAATTATTTTTTATCATGTACATGTGTAAGTATTATTATATTTTTTAAAAATAAGAGTGTAAATCTATGTACAAATAAGTACAGTAATTATAAATATGTATTTTTGTGTCAGAGTTCCTTGTATGAAAGTATTTCTTAAAAAATGTGTTCATATTTTGTAAAATTTAAACTAATAGTTTATTTACTAATAAACTGTTATCAATAAAATAAGTTGTACCATTTGATTAGTAAAAACTTTTAAACAATAATAACTATTTAAAAAATGGGAATTATCTAGTTTTACACTTGAATATTTAGTTTTGTATTTAATCAACAATATTAACTGAATCTTCCGTTATTTGACTAGGCATTAAATCTTTCCATGAAGTAACACCATACATTTTTAACAAAGTTTTCCTTTCTAACATGGATGTTGATAATGATCTACAAGTTTATTAATCGAAAATATATTAAAGATGTAAAACTTAAAAAATATAGCAATATAGCATATAAATTAAAACTTACTGTTTCATCTCATTAATAATAGGATCGACCATTGCTGGTATAGCAATCTTTGCAAAATGATTAAGTTCAGATAAAAATTTAGGTTCTTGAAAAGAATAATTTGTATATAATTCATAAATAAAATTAATTAATTTATTAAATGCTTTAAAATAATCATCTGATAATAGCTGAAAAAATGATAATAAAAGTTTATCTTATGAATTTCATACTTCCATGAATTTCATACCACTAAAGAAAAAAATCCAGGCTTATTTATGTGTTGATCTAAGTATATTTTTCTTGATTTTAATATCAAATCAGCGTAGAAGTCTTTCATATCTTTTTCCGATTCTGGCAACTTGAAATAAATTATAAATTATTTTACATTTATATAATCTTGTATTGAAAGCAATTCAAATGGTTGAAAGAAAAAGCGAATTAATACAAACTTTTTTTGTTAACTTTTCTTCACTAGACACGGATTCACTAAGTTCTTCTGTAGTTGAATCTACTTTTCTTCGAATTAATGTATCACGACGTTGTAGAAGTTTTGCTTGATATCTTTTACGTTTTAATTGTTTATCCTCCACTATAACATTTGCCTGCTCATCTAAAATTACCTGAAAATAGAAACAGTGATGTATATTAATATATACATCAATAAGTAAAATGGACTAAGTAAGTTGCATACTCGTAGTTCTTTATGTTCATCTAATACATCAAAATATGAATCAATTTCTTGTTCTTGAAATTTAATATGAGGTGATGTTTCTGTTATATCTTGTTCTATTATATCATCAAATAATGTTGCATTGTTTAATGTAATATTGGTAGTTTTATCAAATACAGTTTTTGAAAATAATTTAAGATTTTCTATAATCTAAAAGCAAGTTTAATATTCATATAATATTCATGACACTGTGAATATTATAAAATATAAAATTACTCGTACATTATTCAAAATTTCTTTAATAAAATTTATATCACTTTTTGTTGTTGGACTTTCTTCAGATAATAAATTTTTTTCATTATCTTTGGTATATATATAAACATAGAATTTTTCTTGTATCCATTCACGATGAATTTCTTCATCTTTTGTGATTACAAGAACTGCTTTACTGTTGGAATATCGGTTACACATTTGAATGGTTGCATGTAAATCCATTTGTGTTATTCCAATTTTATTTTCTGACTTTAAAGAAGTAATTTGATTGTGATCTACACAAATATAAATAATTAACAAGTATTTTGAAAAATACTTTTATAGAAAATTTAATTTATCTAACTAACGAAATCCATAACTATTTCCTAGTTTTTCTTGAATTGCTAAAAATTCTCCACGACGAGACATATCATTAAATTCTTCCCTGTTTACAAAAATGTAAAATTGATTTTCAGTCTCATGATCTTCTGCCTTTTTTGTTTTATACCACCGACAATATTTGACCTATGAGAAATTATTTTGGTAAAAATTATTTTAGTTTGATAAATTCAAAATAATATTACATTTTTTGATAATGTTTTGGCAGTATAGAAGGCCAAAGATAATTTTTTTACTGCACTTGGACCTGTAAGTATTATCATAGGTGGGCTCACTTCATCATATGGTGTTACATGAAAATCAATTTTGGGAGTGCTTAATTGCTCTAATAAAGTTAGTTTTGTGATAGTACGAGCAGCTGTTAAATTTACTGGTGGTGCAAATAAAGTAACAGCAGCAATCTGTTTAAATAAATTCTTTAATATTTTAAATTGTTAATTTTTAATATTTTATTATATACCTTTTCTGAAGTAGATACAGTAGCACCATCAATGATCTGTATACTTGGTATAGAAAATAAAAGTGCAGCTTTATAATTAGGCCATTTTGTACAACCATTGCCTCTAAGATCTACTTCTTGTATTAAACCAGTAAGATTTAATAATTCTAATAAATCATTGATCCTATTAAACTTTAAATCTATCACACGTAAACTATATGCATCCTAAAGTTTTAAACGTTATTACAATTTAAATATTCACTTAATTATTCGATAAAAAACTATTACCTTAAAAAATTCTAAAGTAGATAATTTATTATATCCCAAATATAATTTTCGCAAATCTGATAAAGTACTTATGCCGTAACCAGGTATAGCAGATTTGTATGACAGTATACAATTACCCTCTAAATTTAATTCTTGAATGTTTAATCTATCCAAATTTTCAATGTATTCAATCAAATTGTATGATAAATTTAAATATCTCAAATATCTAAAAATGAAATATATAATGTATAAATGAAATTTTTCTTCATTTAATTATATAAAGAGACTAACTTCAAATTTTGTAAACCAGTAATGGTTTCAATTGCATTATGTGATAAATCCAAGTGAGTAATACTCCAGAAATCACTAATGTCGCACATTTTGGATATGTAATTATATGATAAATTTACATATGTCAAGTACCAAGGAGGTGAAAAATTTAAAATAATATTCATTCTATTATGTGCTACATTTAAGTATATTAAATAAGGAACCTCACTCAAAGGTGATAAATTTGAAATATAATTGTATGCAAGATCAATATATTGTAAGTAATGATGGTAACTTAACATTGTAATATTTGAGAGTGACTGCAAAAAGATTGTTTTCAACAATATTTGTTTTACAAAATATTATTTGTCTAATATAAAATAATGTACCATGTTTCTCATAATACATTTACTTAATATATAAAGATTAGTTTCAAGAGATTTGGTTAAAAATGATTTTCCAACTCCTATTAGTCTGTCAGTAAAAAACCCACAAAATTCTAAATCATCATATATTATTTCCTTAAGATTTCTTAATTTCACAACAGGTGCTTTATTATCCTTCCATAAATTAATATCTAAAGCATTACTACTCCAATTACTTTCAGTTACGCACTCTATCTTTTTTTGATCTATCAAAAGTGGTATTTGATCAAGCAATAAAAATGAAAGATTGGACTGTAGAAATGAATGAATTATAATTATTTCAATTATATTATAAAACGAAGTTAAATTTATATTTAAACTTATATAACAACAGTTACATTAGAAGAAGATGAATGTGAAATAGCTGATGTGGAATCATCAGATACAAGTTCCAAATATTCATCTTCTATAGATTCCCAGCTCATATCAGTATGTAATAATAGATCTGTATCATCATTTTCAATAACTACATCATCTTTCTTCATTTGCAAAGGTGCTTTTGAAATAGAAATTTTAGTAATTGCATCTTGAGAAAATAGTGATTCAGGAATAGAAAACAAATAAGGAAACTGTAATTAAAATCACAGAAATTAATTTTTGTATGAATAATATCAATTGTATAAAAATAGACAATTTAAACCATAATTTTACTTTTTTCTCATCCATTATTTTATTTGAAGCTTTAGTTATTCACTCTGTGATAAATTGTTTTAATAAAATTATTAATACAATTTTCTGTTGTTTCTTAACAACTGAATGTAGGATTGTCAAATCCTACAACCATAAAGTGTAATTTGTTATAAAATTTGTATCAAAATAATTTTATTAATAATGATATTTATATTATAATGATATTTATATTGTAATAATGATATTTATATTGTAATAATGATATTTATATTATAATAATGATATTTATTTATATTATGTTATATTATATATGATATTTATTTATATATTATAATCTTTATATATTTATAAGTAAATTTAAAATTGCATCTAACAAATTATAAGATATTGATAATGATGCCACTTTCTTCTATTATAATAATTGTTTCTTTTATTTTTACTTGAAATCTTGCCTATTCCAAAACGAAATATTTTAGAGAATATATTTTAACAACTATTTTTAATTTTAATTTATTATCAATATGAGATACAGAAAATATAATTAAACCTTATTTGAAACGATTAAAACTGTTGGCATTCCTAGCAGTTCAAAACTCGCGGTACGAAAGGAGCGACAACTTCTGGTACAATGTGGTAATGACTTCCTGTGACTGACCATTTACGTTCATTCGCGATCTGTGCGTCGTGTGACATTGTTGTGTACAATCTGTGGTGACGTACAAAGATATTCGGGTGATTTTTTTGCGGTCCTCGTGTATTTTTCGCTCGTTTGAGAGGAGAAAAAACCAAAAAAAGAAAAAAAAGCAAAAACAGAAATATGTCTGAGATTGACGCGAAAGTGAACATGTCGCTTGGTAAGTGGCCAGAGTCTCGAAAATCTAGCAGTTTTGCCATTAATCCTGGGTGAGCGTACGGCTACTGTTTCTTCCTTTGCACGAATTCAAAATGGCGATGAAAATTATACAATGTAGATAATCCACATGTAGATATGTCCACATTTATTTTCGTTCGTTTAACACGCAAAATGGTAAATAGATCTCTAAAGGGGGAAAAAAAAGAAAAGTATCCGTATCGGACGATGAAATACCTTTGATCGCAGAATCGTTTTGTCTCCCTAATTCTTAAGCGGAAAAAAAAGACAGACATATTGTAATCGATGTTTAATTATGGGAGAACATGCGATGTCTTTTCTGATCGCTGGAAGAAAAGTATCCTCACTATTTATATCGATGCTCGAATAACACCAAGCGTGTATGAATTTCAAATTTTTCAAAAAAAAAAAAAAAAAAAAAAAAAAAAAAAATTCAATTTCGACCGTATGCACGAAAGAGGAAGGGAATAAATAACAGGTTTCTACGAAAGAGATATAATAACAAAGGAGAATAAGTGTTAGCCGCCATGAAGGATTTACACATTTTGGGAAATGATTCACGTAGAATCGGTGGAGAGAGGGATTTCTTGCAATTTCTGATCAATTGCATGAGAAACTTGTCGAATGGAAAATTGACGAACATGAACGTTTTTTGGATAATAACGCAACCGAGAAGTTGCAAGATTCTTATGGTTCGCGAGAAAGAAATCAACTTTCTCATTACGTGGGATATACGTTTGCGTAACTTTTAGTCGTATTTTTATCTCTGCTATATCATGTTCCTCGAGTTTCTTTTTGTTCATCTGATGAACTTGAACGCTATGCGAACTAAAAATACGCCGAAAATTTTCAAATTGATTTTATTTTCGAACGCGTTACGCATTCTGCGAAACTATGACATGCCTACGAGAGTTCGATTAAATTACAAAAAAGAATGGTATCTATATGTATTACAAGTATGGACTTCAGAATAATTCATATTTAAGACTAAATGTATTTGCAGTTTGTCGCTTAAACATGTACATTGTATATAAATGAATATTTGATGATACGCAGAATACACTTGAGTACATCGTTATTCAAAATCAACGAAAGCATTTTTTATTAGACGAATTATTGAAAGTAAAAAAAAAAACAATTAAACGGGATCATTTAAACTTTAAAGATGCATAACAGGAAGAAAATGCATCTTAGTGATGAACTATTTTAACTAAATCAGTTAAGTAAGATAACTGATTTTTCTTAATTTGGATGGTTTTGGAAGTTTCAAAACCATTTCCATCAATAAATGAGAAAAATTTTTCATGTGATCTACAGATTTTTATCAGAAATGTAAACAATATTAAAACAATATAATATTGACTTTTTTCTGAAGAATGAATATACTAGAATATACTAGGTACGCATGAAGATAACCGGAGAAACTTTATTTTCAATTGAAAGTTGATATACAATAGCTATCAGAGATAATGCTACTGTTTTACTAACACAAAACAACAATAACAGAGCTATAGAACTACATTTATTTGTTCAAACACAATTGATGAAGTGTACTAATATTATATAAATAGCAATATAAATACTCTGCTTCCTTAATTAATAAATAGTGAAAGATATTTATTAAATTGAAATGGAAGAACAATGTGAGCAAACAATTTAATATAGAAATTATATTTTGAAAATACATGCCAAATCAGAGGAAAAATTGGTAATACAGTAAATGTACGAAAACAGAAAGTGTGAAGAATTATAAAAGTATGAAGAATTCTCAGATTGCAAGAGAACACACAAGATCTATATTTCAATGAATAAATACTTCAAACACCATATGAAGATTAAAATGAAAATAGCACAAGAAGAAAGGATATTCATAAAGTACACAAATTTGTACAAACTAAAATAATATAATATAATATATATAATGATTTAATAGTGAAGATTTATTATTAATTAAAAATATCATAAAGAAAAGAAAATAAGTAACATAATACATGTGGAAATTTATTGTTACTAATTAGCTAGTAATGCTTTTTCTATAGCAAAAAATAATTCTTTTTCATAAAATGAAATCCTTTGTTAAAATTGTAATATATTGTGAAAAGATATATAAAAGTTATCTGATCAAACTTGTACCTATACATGTATAT